GTCAGAGCAGTCAGTGGTGGTAGCCAGGCACCATCTAGCTGTACTGGACTCAGTCTGGTGGAGGCCTTGGTAGCTGTGGTCCATTAGTCCTCCATTAGATTCTTGAAGTACCCTTTGGGGTTGGCCTGGGCTGGGGGCTTTGTCTAAGGGAAAGGAGTTAGAACTTTGGGAAGGGGGCCGGTGGGGACAAATCATACGACTCAATTAAGGGTGCTTTGTGGGTGGATCTATTTCTAGCTGGGTTCCAGGACAGGAAGCCCCTGAGTTGGGCTTGCCAAAGCCTCATTACCCCTGCCTGCACTCTGCTCCATTTCATGCCATCCAAAGGAACTCAGAACCCTGACTCAGACACTGGAAGGATGACTTGGAGCACTATCCACAGGCAGAACCACTTTTCCACTGCATGTGAAGCTACCCAGAAAGCTTCTTGGCTCTGAAGATGTTCTTACAGAAACAGCAAGGGGGTGAGGAGGGAGCTAGGGGATGGAGAACAGAACGCCTACTCCAGTGTGCCTAAAGAAGAGCATCAGAAGAAAACACATCTGAGTTCCTTCTCCTCCTGTAACTGACCCCATGTGGATTGGCAGGGAAATGGGATTCGTATGTTGCTAATTTGTTTACACTTCGCTCAGCCATACAAAACAGGCCTCTGCTGTGTAGTGCTGGGACTGGAGCCTCTTCTGAGTCCTAGCTCTTCCCCACAAGGAGTTAGATACGAGCCTTGCAGAGGGCAAATAAAGCTGGCCACTAGAGCAGTCCTGAAAAGGTTTTGAGCTGTTTCCCTGGCAGGGCTGAGCAGGTTCCAGGCAGGACATGGTTTTTCCCTCCTCTCTACCAATTGGATGGGACAGTGCCAAAAAACCAGGCCAAATCTAAGCTCTGCTGGAGGGTAGGCAGGGCAGCTGAAAATGCTCAAGTTATAAAGAAAGCTGGCTTACCCACACAGGACCCAGTTGTGGCAGAATACAACATTCTCCACTGTTAGGCCCAGAAAACATAACCATGGTCCTTCTATGGGGAGCCAAGCTCAAAAAGCAAGTCTCTGACAAGTTATCTCTGCCCTCATTCCAGACATGTCACTATGGCTACTCTCATGTCTCCAGGCTTGTATTTTCCTACATCAGCCCAGGCAGATTGGAAGTAGGAGGTACCAAAACTTCCCAAGTGTCTTTGAGAGAGAGTCAACAGAGTTTTTTTTTATGAATCCCATATTCCTCAGGCTGTGGTCAGGGTCTTCAGTTATCCTCTACCCTACAGACATGCTTCTGCAGGGCTGGCAGAAAAGAAAGCGGAAAAAAGAAACTTGTAGCTTGCTCCTCACCTGACTCAACCACTTTCTGCCAGTGGGACTATGGATTGAGTTTAGCCTAGGTGTAGCTGGGAAGCTGGGTTCTGGATCTGTACCTCAGTGGGGGGGGGATACTATGAAATATCCTTTTTCATGTCCAACATATGAAACTTAGTCTAAAATCATCCATGCATTGGCAGGCAGAGGTGCCTGGAAAAGGGCCAGAAATGCTAAACATCCTTAGGCTTAGCAGACTCTTTTTCAGCATAAGATTCCCTCAAGAATCCTGGAATGCTAGGTGTTCAAATAGGCTCCACTTGAGAAGCTCATTTCCAGGAAGGAAGGTGAGGTCATGAGGTGTGTGGCATATCGGAGAAGAATAGAATAGCAGGGTTGGAAAAGACCTGAAAAAAATCATCCGGTCTAATCCCCTCACGTTACAGATGTAGAAATTGAGTTCCAGAGAGGGGAATGGACTCATCAATTTTTCCATAGCCAAAACTGGATTTGGGCCCAGTCGTATGAACTCCCAGGCTTGGGCTACTCTCAACACTTTGAAACTCTTGGGTCTTCTTTGGGGATATTCCCTAACAATGTGTACTAAGGACCCTATCTAGATGAGTCCCATTGAACAATGAATCCTGGAGCAGGGAGCTCTGGTGGTGCAGTGGTTAAGAGCTCAGCTGCTAACCAAAAGGTCGGCAATTGGAATCCACCAGCTGCTCCTTGGCAACCCTATGGGACAGTTATACTCTGTCCCATAGGGTTGCTATGAGTCGGAGTTGACTCAATGGCAAGGGTTTTTTTCTGACATAGCCAGGGCCACAGGGGATCTGCAATGAGAAGAGTGTCTCTAGCTGAAGCCCAGTAAGAAGCCAACCCTCAGCCTTGGGGAAATGGCCAGCAACCCCTAGCCTTACCTTGTGAAGGAACTGGTATGAAGGCCAATGAAAGCGACAGCAGCCCCTGCGGTCGCTGTGATTCGGCAGCCCAAACGGTCAGTGAATATACTCACAATGGGAGAACAGAAGAAGATCATTCCCATTGCGAGGGCTCCTACCCATGCTGTGGAGACAAGAAACACAAAGACACCTTAGTTTAATGTGGTGCCTGCTGTCATGGCTGGTATCTCAGTTTTTCTTTGGCCTTTTAGAGGGAGCACTGCATTTGATTGAACTGCCAGATTGCTCGTCCCTAATGATGAGAGAGGTTAGGTGACTTTCAAATCATCTGAAGCAGGGCCATGTGAGAAACAGAAGCCTAGTTCATAAACACACCTATAATTTCAGAGCTGGGGCAAGGGGCCTTTAGAGATCATCAACTCTATGGCAGAGGCCTATAGAGTTGGCTGAGCAGAGCAAAGTGTAAACAAATTAGCTAGCCACTAAAATAAATTCTTTTTTTTAAACCTGGCAAACAGCTACTCTACATTTCTCAGCATCTTAGAAGTTTGGTGTGACCCTGTGACTGAATTCTGACCAACAGAATGTGGGTAAAAGTGATATGTACCATTTCCAGGTCTGGATCATAAAAAAACTCCCATGAGGTTTCTGCCTTCCTGTAGGCTACAATTTACAGTGGCCTTGGAAGCCATGTATTGATACTAGCAGCACTGCCATCAGTTCTGCCTGTGTCCTTGAATAACTACATGGAACAAAGTTTTCCCTCTCTTGCCAATCTGGAACCCCTACCCTGAATGTTACATGAGAAAAAGAAACTTCTTATTCTTTAAGCCACTGATTTTTTTTAAACTGTAGTTTAGATGAAGGTTTACAAAACAAATAGTTTCTCATTAAACAGTACACGTATTGTTTTAGGACATTGGTTAACAACCCCACGACATGTCCACACTCTCCCTTCTCGACCTTGGAGGACATTTTTTTTTTGGTGAAAATATGCATAGCCAAAGTTACACCACTTCAAAAGTTTCTACATGTACAATTCAGTAACATCGATAACATTCTTCCAGTTGTGCTGCTATTCTCACTATCCTTTTCAAATCATTCCATCACCATTATCTTCAACTCACTGCCCCCTAGGCTTCCAATCAAACCTTTTGAGTTGCTGTTGTCAATTTGATCTCACATAGGTAATTCTTTTTTTTTTTTTGTACCTTAGATGAAGGTTTGCAGAACAAATAGTTCCTCATTAAGCAGTTAGTACACATATTGCCCTATGACAATGGTTAACAACCCCATGATGTGTCAGCACTGTCCCTTCTCAACCTTGGGTTCCCTATCACCAGCTTTCCTGCCCCCTCTTGCCTTCTAGTCCTTGTCCGTGGACTGCTATGCCTCATTAGTCC